CCCCCCCCTCCCATCCCACCCCACCCCCTCCCCATCCCATCCCATCCCATCCCATCCCATCCCATCCCATCCCATCCCATCCCATCCCCATCCCCATCCCATCCCCATCCCATCCCCTCATTGTGGGTTTGCTGTAACCCCCAAAGAGAAAGGAGCCCCCCCAAAATCGCTTGTATTCCTGCAGTGGTTCAGCCGAAGCTCTGGAGGTTGTGGTGGTTTGGAGCATCATCCCAGCTGGACGTGCCCCAAGGTCGCTCCAAGGGATGAGGAGCTGCTTGTCCTGCTGCCACGTGGGCACAAGACAGGTATCCAGGGACGGACCCTTGCTCCCTGCCTCGTGTCTGACCACCTCTGGCTCTCTGTCCCCAGCTCATGTCCCTGCCGAGCCCTGCATGGCCCCAGCAGGACGAGCCCTCCCCCTGCGGCACCACCACCGGTCTCCCCCCGGCCTCGTCCGACAGCGACTCCGGCTGTGCCCTGGAAGAATACCTGGAACCCTCTGCGGAGCCCGCGCCCCCCGAGGTGGGCAGCACCCGGCTCTCCCCCAGCCACACCAGAGCACCCCGTTTCTCAGGGTTAAACACACATTTTAGCAGCTTTGAGCTAAACACAGTTTAATCTCCCTCTGAAATTGTTTCTCCCAAGGTGCTGCCGTGTTTCGGGCCCCACTTGCCGCAGCCTGGCTCTCCCTCTGACAGGACCCGCAGCAGAGCCCTTCTGCAGCAGCTGCCTCCTCAGGACTGCGATGTAAGACCCCCCTTTTTTTGGGTGCTGCTCCCCTCCCCAGGCTCACCTGATGCTTTTTTGGGACTACTTAAAAACAGAGGCCAGACAAAATGAAGGGAATGAAAAGCAGTTCTATTTATTGAAGGGCCTCCAGGTACATTTTGGGCAGACAAAGCCTCTCCCAGGGGCTGCACACAAAAATGGACCACAGCTCACAGGTTTTCACACTTTTGTAAGTTTGGTCTATTGGCATATTGGGGGGTTGATTTTTTGATTCCAGCTTCAGGTAATGAAGTCATTTACCCCAAGTTTGTTCCCCACGACTCCCTTTTGTTTCCATCTCTGGGGGCCTGAGACAGCGACTCCAGGCCTGGAGAGGAATTGTTGTGTCTGAGCAAAATGCAAAAAGCTGACCCTGTGTGTGGAGTTTAGAATTATCCACTGAACAACTGCAGGACTAATACATTTTCTAAAACAGAAAAGCTAAAATCCCCTGACCCTGGTGCCCCACAGGAGCGGTACTGCCCCGACCTCGCCGAGGAGGAGCGGCGGCAGCTCCGAGCCTTCAGCGCCCGCCGCAGGCAGGAGGCTCTGGGCCAGGGCCTGGCGTGTCCCGTGCCAGCTCCCTGCCACGGCTGTCCCTGCAGGAAGGTGAGCTGTCCCCTCCAGCGCCCATTCCCTGCCAGGGACCCGGCCCCAAAAGCCAGCCCAGCCCCAAACCTGGCATCTCTCTGCCTTGCAGTGTGGCCGGAGGCTGAACAAAGGGGACCCGGGGATTTCAGCGTCTCGCCTGGGCGACCAGTTCTGGCACCCGTCCTGCTTCTCCTGCCACTTCTGCCACCAGCAGCTGGTGGATCTCATCTACTTCCAGCAGGATGGGAGGATCTACTGCGGCCGGCACCACGCCGAGCTCTTCCG